TAAATGTATGTACATATCTCATAAAATGCTAAAGCATTGCCAAACAAGATGAGGTCGCAGTGGGGTCAAGTATATCCTTTGAAAAGTCCTCAAATAAGTTTAATGCATGTACATATCTCAAAAAATGCTAAAGCAATGGCAAGCAAAGTACAATGTCAAATTTATAAAAAAAATCTGATATATACATATATATATATATATTAGATTAGATTAAAATTGAGAATTACACTGCGACCAGTGGTCTATTGTGTCCTCTCATTTTATCACATAACTTCATTTTAACCGGTTGTACAAAGAGGCTAAACAGCGCTCCTGAATAATGGATGTGAAATGTTCTCTCAAGGATTCGTTGCTCCAATAGTCTGACTCTTGCTTGCAATTGCGGTGCATTCAAGGAGTATGAACAGCCGACATTTATCTGTAAACAGAATCCCAATTCCGTCAGATGATATACCTTATGACAATTTGTTATTTAAACAATTTTGTATTGTACTCTCCCAGAAACAACTTTGCACGGCCCTTTCCTCTCCTATTCATAGCCACTCTGTTGCTTGACTCCCTGAGAAAGACAATAGGTTTTCTTAAACATACTGATGGCATACACCTCAGCTTGAAAAATGATCTGAAAAGTTCCCATGGTCAACTAGTGCATGCATATGTTTTTTAATGTGATTTATAGGAATTTTCTTCAGCACCTCGATTACGGCTGCTTGCATGGCAGATATATCATCATAAAATGCTATTTTCATGTTGGTTCTCAGTTTCGGAAATAGAAAATGGTGATAGATCAGGTGAATACGAAGAGAAATCCGATTTTTCATTATAAACTCGCTCACTCTTTTGTCTTCATTTAATTTGTGTTGAACAAATCTTCAATCAAAATTATCCAAACAGTGTTTTTACTCGTATTGAACTCCTCAGCCTTTATCCTTTTTCCACCAATGCAGCACGATTACTAGCTTCTGGACGACCCGGCCCTCGGTCGTCATTTAAATCCTCACGAGCAATTTTAAATCGTCTGAACCACGTATAAACTTGAGTACGATTCATATGGTACAATAATCTCCATAAATATTTTTATCAATTCGTATGCCCAAGCGATTTTTTTTTCAAGTTCAACATACAATTTTTTATTTGCTCTTTATAAAAATAGAATAATTGAAAGATGATGAATATATCTTCATGCTACAAATTTTCAATAGTCGCTGCCTGTATTTGGTTTTTTTTTTAGTTAATACCAACATTAATGAACAAAACCTATCTCATGTAGTTCTTCTTATATTTGGCAACTCTAATTTAAGATTAGTTAAAATCGCTCTATACCTTTCCCTATCCTCACATATCAAATATATTGTTAAGTTGTGCGGTATCTTAATGAAACTAAATGAACATATTTTTTAAGCATAGTTTATTGCAAAAATATGTAAAATCGGTCCATCCCAACATTTGAGATAAAAAAGTTATAAGTTGTGTTGTCCATCTGGTTCATATGTTTCCGTATCTCCCATACACTCAACATAATGATTCCCGTCTTTCGTTTTACTTTATACTAGGTATGTATGTATATCGGGCAAAATGCGAGGTGACTTAGTGGAATGGATTTATTCCAAAAATGAAGAAATGGATTCCTAATATATTTAGTATTCGATAAATGATTTCATACCTAACCTTCGTCTACTCCTTTCCTTAATTAATAATGTTAAAGATGCAAAAGCGAACTATTTTCGTATTTAGTAAAAATAATGAATAACAAGCGTTATTGCTATTTTTTTCTAAATTTCATTCCACTTGTCCATTATTCCATTATATAAAAAAAGTGCAGTTCTTCGAACGTTTGACGTTATAAGTCTAAAAGTCGCAATTCTTTTTTAGTTTTATTTAATTATTTTAACAAATTACAATTTTTTTTAATGATTTCCAAAATCTCACAGACAGCAAGACTAAAGAGGCAAGGATTTGCAAGAACTAAGGTAAATCAATCAGATTAAATTAAATCCAGATTATTAAATCCTTGCCATACAATTAGATGCTAGTACTCTGCTTGAAGATTCTATGACAATTTCGGCAATCATAAGGCATCACTTGTATTTGGTAACTCTACCCATAAGTAGTACAAATGTTGATACAAACTGCGCATGCTTTTGTTTATGACATTGAGTTTTTATAATATATTTTTTATGTGTATGTTGGTATGTATATATACACTTTACTCATTTTATTAAATTTTTTTTGTTGCTGTATTTCATTTTCCAGGCTAATAAGGATAATAAAAACACACCTCCCCGCGATGGTCCACCACCGACACCAATCACCAAAGGCTTAAATTTATCAGCAACGCCAATTGTCAAAAAAGAGAAGCGCCAAAGTAGTTCCCGTTACAATGTTACAAAAAATTGTGAATTAACAGCCTTGAGCCCTCTCAATGAAAGTAAGTAAACACCGAGAAAGAAGCAATTACGCATAAAATTTGGAATACCTTTATATTACATGTGCGTATACGAGTATTTAAAATATACTATGTGCGTCTGAGTTTATACACAAAAACTTTTGTTGCCCATTCTATTTTGATGTTCGCATGGGCGACTCGAGTTGGGCAATTTCAAAATACTATGGAATGCTACTGTTACGAATAATAACACAAAGTGTGTTGTTGCACAAACAACTCGGTGCCCTTCGTTTTTCCTCGTCGCCCCCTCACCTACAAGCTACGAACAGCGGCAACAAAAGTGTTCTTGTATGAACCGGCACTATGTATGTTATTTTTAGGTTTTAAAATATTAATTATTTTTTAATATGCCGGGGGAGTTTTTAGAATAGGTGCATAAGTACCTAAGTCTTCGTTGACTTCATTTAATTGTACTTCAGTTTTTTTATAGTTTTATTTCATTTCGGAAATGTTACGTTCGAAGGATATGACTTTCTTTACAACTAATTTAGCTCCTACACATAAATAAGTTCCTAGTTATTCGTAAAGTCCATATATATATATTGGAGCAAAGGCTCTAAAATCCCTGTAATTTACCACTTATTCCACTTTAATATCTAAATAACAAATATGTATGACAAGAAATAAGTTTTGGCACAAAATTTACGAAAATTATACTAATGTTGTATTGGAAAAAATTTATTTATACATTATTTTTATATTCTTCAGTTTAAACCAAACATTTATTTCAAATACATTTTAATATATAATTTTTTAATTATAAAAACATCATTGTATTGTTCTCTCTCATGCTCTCGTCTACAATATCCTTAGGATATCCTTTTAATAAACTGTTATGTGTGAGAGCACTATTCTCTTCCAGACTCTTCCTACTTGAGTGTACACATTGAATATGTTCGTGCACATGCATATAACGATGTCTATGAATTTATTTATATGCGACGTCAAAAAACTTCTCCCTTGTTTCTATAAAGGGAGTAACATGGAAAATCATATTGATTTTCCGACAAGTACAATACAGAGCGCGTTAGTGAACACACAGTGTTCTTGCTCTGCGGTTGGCTGAAGTCACAAAGTATATTTATTAATTAACAGTTTAGGCCCGTAATAGCAATCTGGCTAGGAATTTAGGGACTTTTTAAGTGTGCGATAACTAATTGAATTTAACAAATCAATAGTATCAGTAAATGAAGAAGAAATGTTACACATTGAACACACAGATCAATTGATGGCCAACACCTATCAGGGGTTGGTTAATGGTTGGTGTTGCGGCGAAAATAAATATACCTATTTATATGACGGAACCCATACTAAATTACTGCGTATTAAATATGATTCAACTGTTTCGGCATTCCTATTTTGTTATACTGATCGCTCTGGTGTTCGAATTTTCCGGTCGTGGGTCCCGGAGTTCTAATTTTAATGTTATTGAATGATATGATGTGCGGTGTTCAGTCATATTCAAAAGTGCCGGCAGAAATTGAACAAAAATAACTACAAACCAAGAATTTCAAAAACATATGCATACACTAATTGTACATACATGTATGTACATTGGTATAAAAATATACATAGTTTAAATAATTGAATACTAATTTTTTCTTGAATGATTTTTTATACTACTGCCTAGGGTAAAAGTGTATAAGTATGTATTCTATGTATATACGAGTATGTATCTATGTACATATGTAATATATCCAATTGGTAATATATTTACGAATTACATAGTGAAAAATCAAACCATTCAACATTTGCACTGTATATAATTGGTTTGACCTTAGTTAAAAGGATGATACTAAGTGACTCACTGCTAGTCTAGCAATTGGTATTTTATGAATGATAAATGTGTATAGCATTCACTGTTATAACAATACATAATACTCTACCCATTTACCTGTTGATACACTCTATATACAATAAAATTGCTCGGAATTCTTCTTGTTCGAAGTCTTCTTTTAAAACTACGTCATTAAACACCTTTCCTTAATAACACTCATGTTCTTATGAACTGGGTCCTACATATGTATATTTGAATGCATATACACATTCGTATATATTTCTGTTTTGAAATTTTGTATTAAAGCATTTGTGCCACCCTGTGAAATCATAAAATCCCATAGTTTTTATAGCTACTATATTAATTATGTCAATTATTCCATAAACGTACTTGTAACTTCATATTTATATGTAAATATAGATAAGTATCTTTTTAAAATGGCGCTATTTTAAATCTTATGAAATGAACCCAACTATTTCTTTGCTGCCTGATTTATAGAAAGTTAATTAATTATGTACATACCATATATACATACTGCCTAAATATAATGAAATATCCTTTAATTTAGCATTCTCTTTTTTTTTTGTTTAGCAGGGATATTACTATTTCACATACATATATACAAGTATGTACATACATACATATTTGTTTATTTTTGCAATGTATTCATTTAATATATACGGATACACAATATAAAATAATGTTTACAAAAAAAATTGATTTGAATGTCGAAAATTTCTACTTAATTAAATGCAAATATTGCTATGCGAATATTAGGTGACTATAAGTGCTGCAAAAAGTTAAATTCAAAACATCTAAAATTTTGTAAATTATCGCAATATTACTAAGAAAAGTGAAATTATAATAACTGGATGCAAAAATACAGTAGCGGAAAATGAAAGTTTCTTCAGTATTAAATTTTCAAAAAAATTTCGCCTAGTATAAAAATCGAAATTGTATTAAAGTGTTCTTTAATCGCAATGTGAATTAATATCAAATCAGCAACAGTTTTGATATGAAATGGTATTCAATGCTAAATACTATGCTGGCAACTCAGCCGGTTTTAAGCAACTATCGCAACAACACTGTGAGCAACAATCCCACGTGCCGCAATCCGAACTATGTTCAACAAAAACTCGACATACAGGTAGTGATCTAAAACCAGCGACTACTGTGTGTGGGGGTGACTCCACTACATCAACCTCAATTACTGTATCTACCGATTCAGTGAAATCGAGTCATAATCATCAAATCCAGCATATTAAAAAAAACGGAACTAACATTAATGACAAAAAAAATCAAACTATAGGCTGTACAATTAGCTCTTTAACAGAAAAGCTAGAAAACCCGACATTGGTGTCTATTAAAAGATGTGTTGCATCCAACTCAACAACAAGAACTTCGGCAGTGACATCCACCTCAACACTTCCAGCAGCTAGTTTAAATTATTATGGCTTAGGTATACCCAAGTCGCCGTCAATTCACAGTGGACTTGATCAGTTGGCCAGCAAAAAAAACGACTCTTACATAAATCGACCGCATTTATCAAATGCGAACAGTTATAAAGACAGCGCTAGCCCACACATTGTTAGCGGTGACTTAACAAAGAAAGGAATTGTAGTAACAAACAACGGTTTAAGATTCAATTTCACTAACATTAATGAAATCAAAGCGAAATTTCTAGTTGACGAAACGTCGGCTTCTGAAACACATTTGGCTAATAATCACAATTGTCTTACCTCAACAATGTCACAGCATCAACAACGACAAAAGGTCGAAATACAGTCAACAGTGGTAGCATCGCAATCAATTACAACAAGCAGCAACGTGTTATCAGCTATAACAACAAATTCTATTGGCTCAGGTATAGTTTCCGCTGCCGTTGCATCTATTTACAACACAAGCAACAAATCTTCGTCAACATATACTTATAATCCCAATACCGTAGCCTCTACATACGTTTCCAACAGCACATCCTCATATTCCTCATCGTCATCTGCATGTATATCGATTTCGGCCGGAACAAGTACGCCAGTTGTTGGTGGAATGCGTGGTAGTGGCATTGGCGGTGTTGTCGTTGGCGGGGTTGCCACCAATAGCATCAGCACTGCCATTGTCACCTCATCAACGACGACAACGTCATCTTCACTGGTTGCGACACTGACACAGCACTTTTCAGCGGCCACCTCGGCTACTTCACTGCTTTCAACGGCTGCCTCATCATCATTAACCACTAATAATAAGGTTTGATTGATATTTCATTTATATTTAATCTATCAGAAAATACATACGTACATATGTAACAACTACGGTTATGATAAGAATTGAGTATTTAATTTTTTGTGTACAATTATGTAAAAGTAAATTACTTCATTATTTTAGTATTGTGATTAATAATAAAATTGCTCGGTACTTACTTCAAAGTTGCCCTAATGCAAACATTAAAAAGATGCTAAATTATGCAGTTACTTAATAATTTCACTCTAGTTTAGTAATTAAAATACTTTAATCGAAATCCTTCAACTCATTGTTTAACTGTTATTGCATAGCTTTAGTAAGTACATATGTATGTTAAAAAACCTCCTTAAATTCCTTTCGCAATGGCATTATAACCTTAACCAATAGAGAATTAAAATCATCAACATCCAGTTTAGGAACTCAATGCATTTGTTGAAATAGATGACGAAACTGAATCCCAGTAAATATGCATGCTGTTGTTTTTGAAAATTTTTAATAGTTAGATTTAGAAAAAAAAGGAAATGCTTCCAGATATGTATTAAGTGGAGCAAAGTTGAGTAATTTTTCCCTAATATGTTAAAACTAGTTTATAGAAAGTAAAAACAGAAGCAAACACGTGTTGTAAAGTAGCATATCAGATAATAATACAAGTAGTATAAAGTTATGAGCATCCTAAATGCCAAGCTTCAGCTGTTTGTATGACTCTTTATTTGTTGTATGATTGAAATATTAGAATCAGAAGTAAATTAATTGGTGGACTAAGATACGTAAATACAATGATTGAAAAATGATTGAGAAATTATTTCCTACTTTAGTTTTAAGAGATATAGTCATAATATACTTCGCATGCCGCTTTTTATACTCATCCCCTTTATAACTTGAAATTCATTTAAGAGAAAATTATATTAATATATTACTTAATCTCTCCTAACCAACCAATTAATAAAACAAAACTATCTATTCGGAATCGATGCATATATTACATTTTACAAACATCATAATGCATACCACTTTGACATTTTACCGACCACTGGCAAAAAATCATGTATGTGTCCATCACCATTATTATACCATCGTCATCTTTTGACGGTTCTACACAATTCAAAATTAATATTTAACATTTACAACCTTTCGTGGATTGCTGGTAATCAGTCGTCGATTAGTGCAGCCGCCGCAATCAAAAATATTCTCAATGCCACAAAAAGTGTTGGAAACTCGGCTGCATCTGTGGCGACGGGACAAGCGACAAATCCTGCAGGAAATGGCAGCGCAAATGTGGCACAAAATATCGTTAGTGGTATTAGTATATCGTTGGGAATTGGTGGATCAGCGAACAATAACGCCGGTAAAAACGAACTTTCATTATGCAGCGGAAATAGTACATCTTTAACAGCAAAATTAAATAATATTAATTCGTCCCATTTTCAAAATGGCGACGAAGCGCACAATACCATGAGCACCGGTGTTGGTAACAATACTTGTAACGGCGGAATTGACGGTGTTGATAATAATAACTGTAGCAAGGACAGCACAAGTGGCCGCGGAATCCTATCGCCACAAACTTTACAACAAATCACTGGAAGTCCTGGACGCGCAAGAGACCGCAATCTATTCCATTCACCATCCACAACATCGACGGCCACACCTCTGCCGCTCCTACGAGGTGCTTATCAACCACTTTTCTTTTATATGCTTCCCTCTATTACTGAAATGTCACCACTTTCCTCTTGATTTCATGGTTTCATTACACGCACTTCATTTTGGTAATAATTATCTTTATCGTGTATTTCAATTTATTTTAAAAATTGTCATGGCGTTTACATATTTATTGTAACATTGGTTTTTTCGAAATAAAAACATTACTGAATAAATAATAAGTTGGTTATAATTTTTGTTGATGAAAAATACTTAAAAATGTTTTTTAATTTATTAATTGTATGTTTATTATTATTTAATATATATGTACATAGCGCGGATGTAAACTTTTCTTATATAAGTTATATTTTTATATTTACTAATTACAAGAAATATTAGATAATAATTTTTGGCTTTTCAAATATTTATCGCAAATATTAAGTTTTTTAAGTGTCTCGATGCTATTTAAATAACTGATCTTTGTCGAAAAATTAAAAAAAAACTAATACGTAGACTTTCAGCACATTTTTCAGGATTGATCAGGAAAAAGCTAAGGGCTTTAAAGGGTATTGCAGAATTAATCACATTATATTTAGGTATTTCCTTATTTAGTAGGACGGATGCTAGTATGAAGACATCTAGCAAAAGATATTCCAAAACTAAACAAAATCACCATAAATATGGATCTATGTGCTTTATATAGTTAATATATAATATTATTAATGTATCTGATTATATATAGTGTATGGAAGCATTTTAAAAGCCACGACGATTATCTTGATTGTTTAGACCTCCTTATGATGACTGACTTATATTCATAGTATTCTCAGAAATAAAATTGTATATTCTCCCAGTTAATTCCTGAGTAATTTTGCCTATAATATACACATAGCACTAAGCGTTTGGCAAACTTTGCTTTTAGTCGATCGTCATGCGATAGTATTAGTTTTTTCTTTCAATCGCTATATCTAAATAAAGAGCCAAAAGTTGCAAGCATGCTACTGCGGCAAGGCAACAAATTAGCGCAATGTTTTTGTTAATTTTTTTATAAAGCTCTTGCCAATTGCTGAGAATGCAACCGGTAGAAATCAACGCTAAATTGCAATTTTGCAATATATTTTGGCGTCTTAAAATTAGCGCATTGGCACCGATATTTGAATGGGAATACATGGATAGGCAAATAAACAAAACAAAACAGACCCACAATAAATGAGCGCGTACATTCGCCTTACCAATGGTTGAGAATTCTCTCAACTCAAACGGCTATCAAGACTCGTGAGTAAATATCACGGTTATTATGTCACATAAAAAGTCAAAGGAATGAAACTTTTCGTCAATTATGCTGTGTTTTTAAAACTTAATACAAATCATTTTTAAGACAAACTCATAAGTATTTTATGTGTTGTCATTATTTGCCTTATGCTGAGGTCCTAGTTATAATATAATGTCAATATCTTGATATTCAATATCACAAACAAAAAAGTAAAATCATTAAAATCATGAATATAGCCATAGAAGAAGAAGACTTTTACGTGTTCTCCATGCGGTATACATACATATGTACATACCCACATGTCTTGTGATTATTTTCTTGGCATTTCGTTTACTTGCTACTTGCCTGTCGCTCAATTGCTTCTGTCGTATCTCATATTTACATTATAATACTTTTAAAGACATTTGGATAGATATTTTTACACTGATGATTTTCAAGTCCAAGGTTATGCCGCAAGTCTGTTTTTTTCTTTATTTTTAATTGACTTGGTAAACAAGCGCTTCTATAGTTTTTCATTTAAAATAAAAAGACAGAAACCAATCATTTTAAGTTTAAAGTTCTTAGGATCGGAACGAGTTAAGCATGTGATAGAAGATAGACTGTTAAAGTCTAAAATGACTTTTATTTAATAATTTTCGGATATTTCTGAATCAAGCTAGACAAACAGACAAGGCAAGACCTACGATAGTCGGGTCTAAGTAACCGAAACGGACCCGAATTTTTATTTAGCCAAGGACTGTGAGATTGGCACCATTCCTCGAAATTACTTCAGGAATGTTTTTTGCCGCTACAGTAACAACCAGAAATTCTTTGATTCTTTTAAATTTTCGGATATAAATTTTCAAAATGAATCATGCGGAAGCAATACAAAGCAAGATTTATGAAAATTTTTCCATGGTTTGAGATACAGAGGATTGTTTTGGTGAAACCACACCTTCTTCTTCAAATGAGGAGAAATTTGATCGACTTTCATAATTCTCTTTGCACAGAGTTTTGGTAGTTTATCCTAATTTTCAAGAACATATTCCTTTGATATCTTTAGAGAAGTAACTATAGGAAGTTTTAATTGTGTTCAACTCTATAGTTCCTTGCTGACGTCAGATATCAAAAATGAAGTAGAAATGACTTTAATATTGGACTGGCGCAACCTATAATATCTGTGTGTTGGTATATCTATAAAATTGATTTAAACAAATTGACTAAATGTGAGCAAAATGCTTAAAAATTTTAATTTTACTCAAACAGTGTATTCTTGGTAGTGGGTAAACCATAAAAAGAATATACCTAAGTATTAAAAATAAGCTCTATGTTTAAAGTTTTTACAAAATGAATGCAGAATTGGGTATATGCGAGTTTTAACGCGACCCACAAAAGTGTATATAATTGTTTGTGCTCCCCTCTGCATACATGTCATTTTGAAAAAATTTTAATAATAGTAATAAATAAATAAATTTTAATCTAAATAAAAATATCATATTGGTACTCATTCTTTTTACAAGTACAATAACTTTTAACTGCTTCGAAACAATTGAGTAATTTCCTAAGCCAAGCACACAAAGGGGAATGAATTTAACTGTTATCTCATTAGAAATAAACTGTAATGGGATAAAAATGTACTTAAAAATTAATGATTTAATTAAGTTGAAATCGATACATAACATGTAGGGGTCTGAGAGAGTTAGAACATACTTTGTCGTAACAGACACTCACTTTTTATTGAATACACCGTAAATAAATTAGTTTATTATACTTTAACTATTCTTTTTTCTAGTTTTTCTATTTAAGTATATGTATATACGTGTAATAAGGAACTTTTTAACCGGCCTTGTTTTTGTTTTTATCATAGAAACCCCCGCAAATGAACGTGAACAACTTTTGATTCAAAAGTTAAGGCAATGTTGCACGCTCTTCGATTTTTCCGAGCCCTTAAGCGATCTAAAATGGAAGGAAGTAAAGCGCGCTGCACTGCACGAAATGGTCGAGTATCTCTCTAACCAGAATGGTGTAATCACGGAGTCAATTTATCCGGAGGCAATAAATATGGTTAGTACTGCTATATACGATAGGTTTATTTGATTGATAACATGATTTCTTCTACAGTTTGCGGTAAATTTATTTCGTACATTACCACCATCATCAAATCCCAACGGCGCTGAATTCGATCCGGAAGAGGATGAGCCTACGCTAGAATCATCGTGGCCCCATTTACAATTTGTCTACGAACTATTTTTGCGTTTCCTCGAATCACCAGATTTTCAGCCGAACATCGCTAAGCGTTATATTGATCACCAATTTGTGTTGCAGCTGTTGGATCTTTTTGATTCGGAGGATCCACGTGAACGTGACTTCCTTAAGACTGTACTGCATCGGATCTATGGAAAGTTTTTGGGTTTAAGAGCATTTATACGCAAACAAATCAATAACGTATTTTATCGGTATGGATGCAATGTAATTAATTAATTTTAATATTGTATTGTTATTTATGTATATATAGTTTTATTTATGAGACCGAGCATCACAATGGCATTGCTGAACTTTTAGAAATTCTCGGTAGTATTATAAATGGTTTCGCATTACCACTAAAAGAGGAGCACAAACAATTTTTGCTGAAAGTTTTATTACCATTGCACAAAGCGAAAAGCCTATCTGTTTACCATCCGCAATTGACTTATTGCGTTGTGCAGTTTTTGGAGAAAGATCCAAGTTTATCGGAGCCAGTCATAAGGTTCGTAATATGAATAAGCTATATATTATATACAAATTGATTTTTCATAAGTGCATTGCTTTTTTTTAAAAGGAGTCTTTTAAAGTTTTGGCCTAAAACGCATAGTCCTAAGGAAGTAATGTTTTTAAACGAGTTGGAGGAGCTGCTTGATGTAATCGAACCGGCTGAATTTCAAAAAGTAATGGAGCCATTATTTCGACAAATCGCCAAATGTGTGTCGTCACCACATTTTCAGGTCGCTGAACGAGCGCTTTATTACTGGAATAACGAGTATATAATGTCGCTGATAGCAGACAATTCGCAGATAATTTTGCCGATAATGTTTCCGGCTTTAAATCGTAATTCAAAAACGCATTGGAATAAAACTATACATGGACTGATTTATAATGCACTAAAATTGTTCATGGAGATGAATCAGCGTCTTTTCGACGAGTGTAGTCGAAACTACCGCCAAGAGAAGCAACTGTAAATTCATATATTTATTATACTTTAAATATGCACAAACTTTATTAATTTACTTCACTAACTAGGGAACGTGAAAAGATGTCACAACGTGAAGAGCTTTGGATGCAAGTAGAGTCTTTAGCCAAAAGCAATCCTGAATGGCCTAAAATGTGCGGCCAAATGGATAATTTAAGTATTTCAAGTAGTCAAAATGAGTTTGAAGAGAATGAGAATTGTGATCTAACTTATGACAAATTGGAACAAGAAAGCAGACAACCGCAGATACAGCAACAAACAGCACAGGAAACTAGAGAGGTAAGCCAAATATTTGTTGTTGTTTGAAAATATTTATGAGGTGGTATATAGGCGAATTTTCCACACACCATACTACAATTTTGTATTCATAATGTCTATAAGTTTACTAATAATTTCATCGAATCGATCTTCGTTACTCATTATATGTATATATTTAAATATGTTATGTACATTTATAAGCTGTTAATATGTTCTTTTGTGGGGTGCATGTTGGTTATTTATATGTTACAGCTTAGCTACTTACTTCAAGTATGCAATATTAGTTTATATGCACATATTTTTAAAAGTGTCTGGCTTTCTAAAATTAAACAAGTTTATAACCACAAATTCTTCTTAAATTAAATATATAGAAAATAAAATTCATATATAGTTATATATGGCATTTTCGAATCTGAATTCTTTATTCGAATTAAATACAGACAGTTGATTTTATTGTGTAGTAATTTGTACACAAAGATTCAACTAACTCAATTATCTGCAGTCAAACGAAGAGGAAATCCTTTACACGCATTCATTAACACATGTATATATTTGTATATATTTACGGTGGTGTTAATATAATCTGTATTTGTAAATCAGTTAATTATTATTGTAGCATCGATATTTTCAAGCATAGCTAAAAAAAAAATTTGCTACTTGCGAAACTACTCATTCCAAACAGATACGAGGGGAACGCAATAAAGACAAGCCGTTGTTGCGTCGAAAGTCGGATTTGCCAGCTGATAGTGGCACAATTCGTGCCTTATTCGAACACAAGCGGACAGACGATTTCTTGAAGACTCCTCCAGATGTGAACAAATATTAAAGGAACTAATGCAAGTGAACCCAATACAAGAAAAAACCACTATCTATTGCAATATATAACTTGATACTTACCGTAGATATATATTAATTCATTGAAATTTGAAAATAAATATTGTCAATATAGCGTTACATATCTAATATACATGCGTAACATACAAATATATATACTAGATTATAAAGATATATCAGTTGGGTTTCAGAGATAACATAACGTTTTGTATTCGAAACCAAAACATCTATAATTTTTAAGAAGTAATTTGTTTTTCTTCTTATTCGTGTTTGCAATAGAAACCAACAAAAGTTGTTCCATGAGAAACACCAGCAACAACAACCAGTCGTTTCTTCTTTTAATTTTTTTTGCATGATATAAGGTTTAAAATGGTATGTAAAAAATTTTCGATTTTCAAATGCTATCTAAGTCAAATGCATGGCGCCGTATTTAAGTATATTCATGCTAATGCGTATAACCATATAATACGAAAATTTTACTTTTTAAATATTACCATTGTAATAGATTACGAATTAAGTGTGAAACACACCAAATGCTTAATGCTGCATAAATAAATGAAAATACAAGCATAATAAAATCAATAATTAAAATTACACTTTAAAAAGAGTGTTTTGCTTTTGGTGTGTCTACAATAATTCTACTAAAAATAACTTATAATTTATTAGAACATATGTATAACTTTAATATCAAATTTGTGTAATACGATATATCTATAGATACCTACAAATGTGTAACAGAGATGTTGTTTTGAATACGATTCACTATAATGAGTATTTAATATTTATATGAATATTTAATTCGAAGAAACAACATCGATACGGCTCCGACTTTATGATACAAGTTATTAATCAATGTCAAAAATGAAACTACAATAAAGAAAAAATAAATATCATCTTAATTCTTGCTTGACTATAACTTATATATGGTTTGCAGTGCATGTACTCGTATACTTATATACTGTTACTTACTGGTATATATGCCTTTGATTCAGTGCAGTTTTGTAGCGCAAGAGATAAACGCATCGGTTTCATCAACCGATATGGAAAGAGAGGATCTTTAAAAGATAAACGTCTATAGAGTATTGAAAATAGATTATTGCATGTTTTAAACGTGGTTTTGAATTGAAAAACGACTATGATACTTTATGGGTTAGTAATTTTTAAAAAAGAACAAATTATTCGTACACAAAAAGGAGTTATTATCAAATAAATTATCCATATACGTACATATGAAACTTAAAGCGCCTTATTACTAAAGACTAATTTTTTTTATTTCTCTTCTCTTTTACAGTGAAATGTGTTACTACTTTTAATACACAAATATTTAAATTTAAGAAAGATTAACTATATCTAATTTATGAATAAAAATGAAAATTAACGAAAGATATAAAAAAATAATAACTTTTTGGAAATGTTTAAAAAAATTCTCTTCAGTGTATTCAACTATATGGAAACTTCCAGGAATTATCTCAGTAAATTTCCAGCAGACTTACCTGACGCAACCTTTATTGTGTCATACGAATCAAATCAATCGCTATATCATTTACTAATTGAAACAAACAAGGATGTGCTAAGTTTGAACGCAATTTGTATGAACTAAAGGCGTTTGAAATATTTCTGTCTACCTGCAAAATTAAAAAAAAAAATATTGCATATAAAATTAATGTACAATAGTCGAAAATGTCAAAGGCGTGACTCTGATAGACGTCTGGAAATCGATTTTGTTATGTATACTCGTCATATTTTACTTTATTTTAGGTGTTACAAACAACCGTTAGGTGCATAACAATCATACTACTTGACATCGTAAATTAATTGATCTATAATGCAATATTACATGAAAAATAATAAAAGCTTATTATAGTTATTAAAAGAATATAATAGAAATTAGTTCGGAGTTCGTTAGTTAGAAGTTTCCGGTTCCATGTCGCAAAACCGGCAGTTTGCACAAGAAGCCATGTCCATGCTATCTTAATACTTAATCTGTAGCTTATTCATCTGCGTCATTTTGTTCCCGGTGGTCATACTAGGGTTGCGTCTTTAAGAACCGATTGGAAGATTGTCTTAAAGTTTGAAGGAGGGCCCCATGTAAAGTGAAGAAGTCCATAACTACAAAATTTAATCCAGTATTTGCAGTGAACAATTTGGTAAAAATGTGGTCGAGAATTTATAAGGGTACCGATATACTCCGTAAAGTGAAAAAGCTCGCAATTTGCGAAGGGTAGATGCTTCATTTTAAACACGTGTCATCCACATGTGAGGGGATGGAAATTTGCTAGATGGATAGAGATAACATACAGAGCTACTATTTGATATTCTTAAACTGCGGAAATATATAAATTAAAACCTACTTATCTACATATGCAAATATCTATCCACGACACTCAAGCATATACTTTACCTTTAACTATCCAAGCAGTATACCGATTTTCTGGTTCAGAGTGACACTTGTTTCTCTTTATTTAAAGTTAATCGCTTTATTATTGGCAGGAATATAAAGGAAAATCATGCATTTACAATTATACGCAACTTTTATCTTTATTTCATAGCTATTCAGAGTAATGTAGATAAAATAATTTTAAGTGATACATAACATTTACTCGAAAAACGCTTATAATGATGAACATATGTGAAACTGTTAAAGAAATAAGTAGTCAGGAAATAGATTATGCTCATATTATTGATTAAAAGCATTTTTATGTTGTTATTGATTTGAAAAGAAATTTTCTAAATTGCTACTATCACATTTTTCACAATAACTCTCCATAAATTTATGTATTCCAGAGAAATCAGATTTATATGTACATAAACTGGGAACCTTGAACGGCACTCTCTTACAAAAACGTATACTGTTGACAATAGACAGACTTTAGCTACAAGTATAATAATTTATAACCCATGTCTTTTATTTATATCTTTCCTATAATTATATTCGGTGTTCTTATCTTGGAAAATACTCGAAAATTTCATATTTTCTTGTAAATTAACCATGTCCAAAAATTAATGGTAAACCTCAATTAGTTTGGTTTGTTGTTTAGTTGTAATATATTATATTTTTAAGTTTTTTCCATAAATGAAACTTCTGCTTGTATAAAATAATTAATTTACTTATGAATTATGATATATTAAGTAATATGTAATAGGACTACAATTTTTCAAATTTTTTATTGAGCTGTTTTGTAATCATTTTCATAACAAAATATAAACTCAGTACTTATTTTAAAATATAATTTTATAAATCTAAAATCAAACAAATTAACTCGACTCATAGTAATCTCGCCTACCCAATTCAATAAAATTACGGCAAATACTAACACGGGAAAGCATAACAAATTTGCATGTCACTATTACATCAAACATCGACCGTTAGTGACTTTTCAATTTACGATTAACATAATTTGGCAAAAAGGAAATATGTACAGTCGTATATTTTATTATTTTTTAAATTAAATTTCTCTATTAGCGCTTATTTGAAGTTTCTACTGAAATTTATCTGTTAGGCCTCGCGATTTTACTGCGAAATCGCTGAGATGTTTTTGCAGCAAACGTCTGTTGACTTTTTCCCTAAAAGACAATTACGTTACAGCTCGTAATACAATCGTATTTCCTTCTTTATCCTTACCTTATAATCAATGTAACGAATTTAGATTTCTCAGCTTCGTCGACAAGTTGTGTGGGAAAGTTTGGTACATGCATAACTAACTTCAGCCAAGCAACTAATTCCGCTGGATATTTTTTATTGATTGCTATGAAAATATCAGCGAATTTTTCCACTTGCTGTCGGGGAGCGACACAACCAACACATAATACTGCAGTGCGAACAATCTCCTCGCCAGCATTAAGCACTGCTTGTGTCATACTCTGATAATTACGTGACTGCAGAATGAAATGCGACAGAAACTGCACACCAGTGCGTATAGGACCATTTTCTGGCAAGGTTGTTGCCTTCAACGCATAGTATATTAGCCTGTCAAATGCAATCGCTTTGTCATCTAGGGCTTGAGGCAACTTTTTAATGATCTGCATGAGGCATGCATAGAACACCTCAATTGTGTCGGCGATATTCGAGAAAGCGTTCTCCGGTGTGGACTATCGGTAGTAATGTATTTAATATAAAAATTAATATTCACGAAAAGTATACTTTAAATTTATATTGTATGGTGAAGTTTAACTCACTTCGAATAATTTAAAACTGTGAAGCACGAGTTCAACTAGAAGTTGTTGCATTAAAGACTTACATCCCTCGTCCTTATAGAATATTATAATAGCCTAAAAAATAAAAAATATATCAAATTTACTATTTTTTAACCTCAAATTGGAAACTAGTAACCGTTTTTGATATTTCCAAAGTTGGCGCGCAGCAACGCGTTTGGAAAATAGCGACAATAAAGCAACAGAGATCCTGTAACATAGGTCGAAAGCTGGATTTGAGGTTAACAATTGCATGTTGCAAAGCAGTACAAGCCGTCTAAATACATATATAGTCAATACATATTATATTAGTGTCATATTGCACCAATAATGATTTACCTCAAGCACATCTATTTCTTCCACCCAAAGTTCAGCGATTTGCCGAAATATAGGCATAGTTTTTTGCATTACAATCAACACGGGTTGCACGTTTTCTAGGTTTTCGATCTGATCGTCTTCATCCAAGTCCGTGTTGAGCGATGAAAATAATGTTGATATCATATTCAGTCGAAAAATGGTTCGTATCCTCGTTGCTGGCGTTTTCTTAAAAAAAAAAAATGGAAAACCCAGATTGGAACAGTACCTAAATAGAATCACACTTTTCCTCCTTACACAATCATTTTGACAAATGGTCTGCAGCTCCTCGAAGCATGGGCCAACTATAATATCTAAATAGTTGGGTATATTAGTGGCTGGAAGCAAACTCATAAGTTTTCCAATGCTATACATTAAACGCACACAATCAGAATTTTTCATCTGGCCTGAGGTTAACGAAGTATGGCAAGCATTCAAAAGTGGTTCAGCGTATGGTTTCATTTGAAGTTGGCAATCACAGCAGAGCTCCTTAAGCCCTAAAGTAGCTTGAGCAGACATATTAGAATTCAGTCCTCGCACTAACAGTTCAATAGCGGGGGGTATATACGTCGGATTCTCTTTTAACCACTGGCAGTAAGAACCAACAGTCTCCAGGGCGGTGCCGAGCAACTTTTCATTCATTTTATTGTAAGGAATTTCGGATAGAACACGCATCAGCTTTGGAATCTGCTTTAATTCTTCTCCTGCAAAATGTTCTGCTACGGATTGGAATGAATAAATGCAAGCCTCAAGTTTGGTCCATTGTGTGGGATTATTTTGCAACTCAGCAATAGTCTCATCGAGTACTGTAGCCAGTATATCGAGTATATACTCATGTAAAACATCATAACAGTACATCTGAAAGGGTTTTTATAAATGATAATTCAATATGGTAGTACAATACTTACGAATGTATCTGATATGTCTTGACGATAGCAACGAAAACTTTCCAAATCATCTGATGTCCATTTCTCAATAGAATTGTCATCAGGTTGTTCTGATTTGCGAACTAATATTCGAGTCAAATGTGCATATAATGGTTTTATATATTCCCAACACTTCATGCGTTCCTCTTCATTGTGCATAGCAAACACCTCATCTTGTAACAAATACCAAAACCCCATAGCCATGCTGCTACATGACTCTTCTACTGGGTATATTCCCGGTTTATCTGTACATTGCAGAATCTCATTAACAAGACGACCATAGAGAACAGACAGCTCTGGGTCGGTAGTTGTTATTCCACTCAACAGAAGCTGTGAGTGCCTTTCAACGGCAGATACAAAGAGTGTGTAAATATTAACTACAATGTCTTCGTTGTTATTATCACGTTTCCATTCCATTTTGGTGATATCGCATAGCGAGTCTAAAAACATTCGGATCAATATAAATGCCGTTTTAGGATAGGAATGACAATCCGGTTGAATAATTATGCTAAGTAAGGTTTTTAGGCACGTTTCGGCTAATTCATTTTCATCAGCAGACATACATCCATCCCCATCTGAATCCTGAATACAAGGCCAGTAGCATTTGTTCGTCAATTTAAGCAATATTGCTGTAATATTCTGACAATTTTCAATGGAAAACCCGATATGTCTGCATAAAAAAGCAAAATTTTTATAGCAGGTCTTAAGCTGTAACTTTGAAAAATGAGTTAAAACATTTACTTACTTTACCCATGTACCAACACATTTAACAGCTCGAGTCATATTGCTAAAGCATTCGCTGTCCCATTCACGATCCAATTGCATTTTTAAATAAGCTTCTGTTGTCTCCATTACTAGTTGGGCGCGTTTCGCTACTTCTGCACGCAATGTCGTTCTTTTGACCGACGTGAAAATTGCTTGCATCTGTTTGAAAAGATCTTTAATGAAAATTAATGTGGCATATTATTTAAAAAATAGTGAACCCAACTTCTTCTGGTATAGCTTGAAGAACTTCCAACATTATCCATAATTGCATTTCTTTATTGACGTTTGGTATCTGCTCATTCTGAAAGGTGTTTATGACATCTTCTATAGCTGTTGACCATTCTCCAAGCATATGCACAATGAAAGCGCTGAGCTGTAGATCAGTATTATTACATTAAATATAAACACGTTTAAAATTAACTTACAGCAATGCACAATCGGTTAAGAACTAATTTAGGGCCACAAGCGAACTGTACAATTTTTTCTAAAATTTTTTGTTTCAGTTCATCGTGATTTTCCCGAGGTACCTCATGCCAATACTTCATTAGTTTAGAATGTAATGTAACGGCCCCAAAGAATTGGACTTCTTGACTCTAAAAATCAATTTCATATGTGAAAATTTATAATATTACTAATAGATAACGAGTAATTATTATAATTATACATATTTTTCACCTTGCCAAGTTCCATTAGCTGCCACGAAAATTGCCATGCTTGTGGACTTGTTTGTGCCTTAGTAAGCCAGTCATGTGTTATAGCTTGCTGTTGAGAAGTTGATCGATAAAAGACAACAACTGCCTCCTCCAAGCGCGAAATATCAATTGGTTCCATATTTTGGGTTAATCCAGTGCCACAAGTTAGTTACTTTAAGCGATATTATGGTTTGAGGAGCTTCTAATACACTTCTATAAGTAAAGGGTGGTGTCGCGAATACGTTCGCCCCTTCCTTATTACCAGGAATAGTTTTATATTGTATTTTTATTACCCAAAGAGCAGTGATTTCTATTTACCTAATGAACTGATATTACAACTAAGACTTTATAGAATTCTAATAATATATTTATTATATGTATAAAGAACCACTTATAAGAAAATAAAGATAAAGCGGCCTTAATATTTATTGACACTACCAAGCAGAATATATATTTCTAATAAGAACGACCATTCACAATAAATGTGTGGTAGAAAACATGATGCCAGTCTGTAATAATTATACTACTTTATTTTTCAAAATTTTTAAAAGTTTTTTATTTAACAATAGTTAAAACTTTGTCACACCGCTTACATGTATATAAAAACATAATGCCTTTTTAATGGGTAACAACACGTACTACAATTTGAACCTGTCAGCAGTTCTATGCGCTTGAGATCTACGGAACTTGTTAGAAGGAGAAAGGAGAAGTTCACAGCATAATTTTTAAATATTGCTTATTATAAAATACCATATAAATAATATATAAAGAATATATCTCATAACATGGCAACGTATCGTTAAATATTAATGTCAAGCAGTTTGACAGGTGATTGTCGTCATCAGTGCAAATTGTGTGGCACCATAAAGAAAAATTTAATATTTATTTAATTTGTATAAATGTTAAAAAGTTTTGTAAATTTGCTTTAAAGAATATAAGCAAGGTAAACTTAGGGCGAAACTGTTTTTTGTAACGTTTTGGTAATAAATTTCTAGCTTTTACATAGTTATATCGACGTTTTTATTTGTGGGTTATTGTAAAAAAAGATAGAATAATGTCCTCATCAGCAATATACGTGCTGGATGTCAAAGGTAAGGTATTAATATCACGTAATTATCGCGGGGATACAATGGATATGGCTGCCATTGACAAATTCATGCCACTATTAATGGAACGAGAAGAAGAGGGTCTGATAACCCCTATATTGCAGACTGCTGATCAGTAAGTACAATATAATTATTTGCTTAAATTATAATGAACTGAGTAATTTTAAAATTTATCCAGCACCTTTGCGTACATTAAGACGAACAACCTGTACATTGTTTCAACTACTCCGCGAAACAAGAATGTTAATATTGTATTGGTTTTTGTTTTTCTACATAAAATTGCACAAGTTTTTGTTGAGTATTTTAAAGAACTAGAAGAAGAGTCAATTCGCGATAATTTTGTAATTATTTATGAACTACTTGATGAGTTGATTGATTTTGGATACCCACAGACAACAGATTCGAAAATATTGCAAGAATACATTACACAAGAAGGACATAAATTGGAACTTCAACCCCGCCCACCTCTGGCGGTTACCAACGCTGTTTCTTGGCGCTCTGAAGGTATTAAATACCGTAAAAATGAAGTATTTCTTGATGTGATAGAATCAGTCAATCTTTTGGCCAACGCAAATGGGAATGTATTAAGAAGTGAAATAGTAGGAGCCATAAAAATGCGGGTGTACTTGTCTGGAATGCCTGAATTACGATTGGGATTGAATGATAAAGTATTATTTGAGAGCACCGGACGCGGCAAATCAAAGTCAGTTGAATTGGAAGATGTGAAATTTCATCAATGCGTACGTTTATCTCGATTTGAGAATGATCGTACTATATCATTTATTCCACCCGATGGTGAATTTGAATTGATGTCCTATCGGCTAAATACACATGTAAGTAGAACCATAATTCGACAAAAAAATTATGATGCAAATACTGATTGTCACCTTACATTATGTTTACACGAATAGGTAAAACCTTTGATTTGGATTGAATCTGTTATTGAACGTCACGTCCACTCCCGTGTTGAATACATGATAAAGGCCAAATCGCAATTTAAACGACGCTCTACTGCGAACAACGTAGAAATTGTCATTCCCGTTCCCGCAGATGCAGATTCTCCTAAATTTAAAACAACTATTGGTAGTTGTAAATATGCTCCAGAGCAAAACGCCATAATATGGACAATTAAATCCTTTCCTGGTGGTAAGGAGTATTTGATGCGTGCACATTTTGGACTGCCAAGTGTTGAAAGCGAAGACAATAATGAAGGAAAACCACCAATACAAGTTCGTTTTGAAATTCCTTACTTTACAACATCGGGCATACAAGTTCGGTATTTAAAAATAATTGAGAAGAGTGGCTATCAAGCGTTACCTTGGGTTCGCTATATAACACAAAACGGCGATTATCAACTTCGTACTAATTAAGATGTCAACGGAGAAAATAAATATACAAATACAACTGTAGTTTAAGCAAAGCGTATTGCACCCATTTTCTGTTTCCGCAAATCTGTCGAAATGTGTAATAAAAAAAAACCATTCCATTCAACAAAAGTTTGTTATGCACTGCTATTAAAAAACTTAGTTTTAAAATATTTTTTCGTAATTGTCTCTCACATTTAAAGCACCATATATCGTGCAATTTCCGACAGCGTAAATATTTTATTCTGTATGTACTTATATTTTTTAACAAATTAATCAAGATTTAATTTAAAACTTTTACAAACATGAATAATATATTATTACTCAATAATATAACGATGTTATATTTATTCCTATCTGTGGCAATGTGCTTTCGTTAACATGTAGGTAAGTTTTCGAATAATTTCTTAAAACTAATAAATGCATTTTGAGTATCACAAGCTATGACAAAGATATGCAACAACTGTTTCAACCAACCACCAAAGACCACTTTAACAAAATTGAAAACCATACGGCGTAAAACGTTTTATGTTATAGTAGAGAGGTTACTGAGAAGATAATAAACAAAGAAATTTGTAGTTCCCTAGTGAACCTTTACGCTTTAAAGTTCTTTACAGGATAGTGGTTCCTATGTGTATTTATGTGAGACTCCAATTCTTTCATTTGTTCCTGTAAATGTGAAGGTATTTCAGAGTAAACACCTTCGAACATTTCTTTCCAGTGAGGCTTAGGCTTTTTTTCTGATACTGTAATTTGTTTCAAAACTTTTTTCCGTACGTCTTTTACAAACTCTTTTTCTTCATTTTCATTAAACCATCCTTTGCGAACCATGTAGCTCTTTAGTTTGGATAAAGGATGCTCCTTTGAATTCCATACTTCGACTTCATCAGCAGGTCTATAAGCGGTGCTATCGTCTGATGTCGAATGGTGACCAACACTTTAAATTATAAAAAATAAAATTACATCAACAATTAAGGCATACAAATCATACTTTACCGGTATGCCATGGACTCAAAAACAACTGGTTTGTTTTCGCGAAGCACATATTCACGAGCAAATTTCATAGCGTTGTAAACGGCGAAGACGTCTGTTCCATCGACACGAATTGTTGCCATGCCATAACCATGAGAACGTGCTGCGATTCCATCTCCGTTATATTGTTCGTGAGAAGGAGTAGAAATTGCAAATCCATTGTTTCGGCTGAAAATATTTTATTAATTCAAGTGAAATCCACAAAATGTAGTTTAAAATACCAAAACATTATAACTGGACATTCCAGCGTTGCTGCAAAGTTAAAAGCAGCATGCGCATCACCTTCAGATGCTGCCCCTTCTCCGAAATAACACACAACACAAGCATCATTATTGGTACGTAACTTCATAGCATATGCTGCACCAACAGCTTGTGGCATTTGAGTTGCTAAGTAGTAAATATTAAAAATATATATTTTAGACATAGGTCTATCCTAGGAAAAAAAACATACCCAACGGGCTAGAGATGGTGACAAAATTCAATTCTTTGCTTCCATAATGTACTGGCATTTGTTTGCCACGGCCGTCATCATCACAGTTACCATAGCATTGATCTATGAATTGATCGATGCGAAAACCACGCCAAACTAATACTCCAGCCTCCCTGTATTGGCCATATATCAAATCACGCATTTCTAAAGCAGCTGCGCTTCCAATATGCGATGCTTCTTCGCCAAAATTCGTCATGTAGAATGATATGCGTCCCTGGCGTTGAGACTCGTATAGAATTTTGTCCATAGTGTTAAGTTGGACCATATCATTAAACATCTTTTGTACTATTTCCTTACTTAACTGGGGATCTTGCGAATCGTCGGCAATGTATCCGTCACTGTCCATGACCCGGTAAATAGGAATGGCGCCATAGTCAGTATGTTTAATCAATTTTAAATTTGAAACGAAGGGTGCTTTTGCACCAGGAAATTGTGATTTATCATCCGTTGAAGTAGAACTACCATATCTATTTTGAATGTTTGCATTATCTAGGGACTGTGTACAAAATATAATAGATTTTTTTCAGTAAATGACCTTCCGACTCACCATTGACCGCTTTGCCAATACACCATTACCAACACGAGCGAGGTGTTTTGACGTTTGTCGAATTAAGGACATAACGGAAGGTTGATTCCTAAATAACAATTATTAACGGATAATACGAAAATCAAACCGTACGAATCAGGGATAATCTCTGGTACGAATACACAAGGACGTAAATATGATAATATAGTGTTAACACTTACATAACAGCATGGTATAAGGCATAACCAGAGAACGTATATCATGGTATAAGGCATAACCAGAGAACGTATATCATGATATCCGGAGCATGTGTTAGTTCACAATAGCAAACGAAGTAGCAATGCTATTTTTAAACTTGAATAATAAAAAAACATAAACATATAGAAGTAGCTTAAGAGGATTATGCCAAATTTCTAATGCATTTAATACTGACATAGAATTTTAACGAATAGAGGATATTTTCATTAAATTTCTCTGGCAATATATTCGTGTGTAAACGAAGCCTATGTTAACAGTTCGTTCAGTATACTTATATACATATACATATATATATTTGGCGTTAACATGCTTATGTCCAAAACATGCGTTCTTAGCATTTTTGGTGAAAAATTAGCTCAAATTTATGATTTCTTAATGAATAATTGCGGAAGTAATCAATGAAGATTATTTTTATTGTATTCCGAAATTGGGGGGTTTATTTTTGGATGTATCCGCATAATGAATACCAGTATTAGTTCACCACACTAAAAGTACTTTGAAATGGAGTCTTTTATTACGGAAAAGCAATTTTGGACTGGAATTTTTTTATTGATTAGAAATTACAACGCTGTTAATAAAAGTATATTTGCTTGTGTAGTACAAAAAGTGTTACAAGTAAAAAAAGGAATTGTGCATTTCCTTAAAGTGGATGATACCCAAGTTTCTTGCGATATTTTTGAAATAG